CGCTCCGACGAAGGTTCAACTAGGCTTCGAACGGATCAGTCCCTGACAGCATTGGAACGCGGTTTGGAACTTACGCAAGGATAAGGACATGTGGAGGTGCGGTTAAACGGGAGGCATGACTCAGTGGAAACGAGGGCTTGGCTGCAGATCGCGGCGACCTTAACCCGCAACCGTCCAACCGAACAACTCGACAACAGATTGCGATTATCTCGTTAAGAGATTTGCCTAACGGTGTCTGGCGGTTAACCTCAAGTCATGGATATCGATGGAAAGCTAGGAAGTGGAGCAACACGACGATAACAACAACGGTTAGCGGACCGTTCACAAAAACGCATAGACGGTCGCAATAAAGGAGGATTTACAAAGGTCATTGACACCCAACACGCCTACCGGTCATCTAGACCTGGATTTTCGACTCTGGGCCTTATGGCGAAAACGATACCTTACAAATTATGCACATGGACCATCATTCTGTTGTGGCGATTTACCTGATCTTATCATTTTCTGTTTTAGTATTTATATCTCTGTCCTGTATTTGAGCGATTCACGGATTGCCCCGCGTTACTAGGTGCATCTGGGGATCTAGCTTGTCAATATCATCCTGCTAGCTCTTTCATTCAAGTAAAAAGGCGTTGTGATCAAAGAGTAGAGGGTTCCGGTTGCCGTATAAGAGAGTTTCGGTTGGCGTACACTTGGTTTGGTTGGCGGTCGAGAGTTTAAGGCAGTTAGTTCCTGACTTGAGACGACTCCTTGGGTTTAAGGCAGTTAGTTCCTGATCCAAACGAGTATAAACGGTTCTGGGCATCGTATTGGCGCTTTCCTATTGCTGGATTTCGTCGATAGTACGCTTAAGGACAACCACAAAACAAATCTTTAACAAGATTTCATTCGATCTACCCTACAACCTTGCACACCCGTGTACAGGCTCTGTTCCCAGGGTTCTGCACTCGTATTAGGAGACGGTTATTGGTGGTTGTTGGACGTTTGGAACGGTGTTATACGGTTATCGCTCAGACAGAACGACTATTTGTTGTTTTGTTGTTGAGTTTTAGTTGTGTAGTGTCGGTCTCATCTCCGGTCTCCCCACCCGTCATCCACCCTCATCACCGGATCGCCACCGGTGTTGCTGAAGCCAAGGCCGCGCTCACTAAGGCCAAAGAGGAGTACAAGCGCTACTACGACCGGAGACGGACTCCGTCTCCGGAGTTTAAGGTTGGCGACCGTGTTTGGCTGGATGCCTCTGACATCAGGACGACTCGCCCCTCGGAAAAGTTCTCCCATCGCCGCCTCGGACCGTTCAAGATAGTCGCGGAGATCAGCAAAGGTGCCTACAAGCTCGACCTCCCTCCGCGCTACTCGAAGCTCCACCCGGTCTTTCCTGTCGTCAAGCTTGAGCTCGCCCAGGACGACCCCTTCGACGGACGCCCCGGCTACGACCAGCCCCCTCCGGACCTCGAGGACGGAGTTCCGGAGTGGGAAGTAGAGGAAATCCTGGACGCAAGGGTGAGGTATAAACGGCTGAACTACTTCGTCAGATGGAAAGGCTACGACGCATCGCACGACCAATGGGTCCGCTTCGACCGCGTCTTTGCCCCGGAGAAAATTGCGGAGTTCTATCGTAAGTACCCTGGCAAGCCACGACACATCGCCTCCGCGACCTTCGACTCGATTCCGTTCCGGTCTATGCGTCGGGACGCCGCATTCAAAGGGGGGGGTGATGTCAGGGGAACCTCCCTTTCGGCCCGGAGACGCGCCCGATTCCGGTCCGACTCCGGTTCCGACTCCGGTCCGGCCCTTCATCTCGCCCGCACAATCACCGATCCGTCAACGCCCTCCCGACGGTCGCCCTGGGACCTCGCCTGCGACGCCGCCCAAGCCTTCTGTGCCCGACAGCGGCAGCTACGGACAAGCAGTATATAGTCAGCTACCTAGCAGGCGGACCCTTAGAGTTTCTTCTCTTTGGATCCTCCCCTGCTAGGTCAGCTTCATTTGTATTCGCTTACCAATGTTCACGCTTTGGATCCTCCCCTGCTAGGACCTTGATCTCAGGCCTCCGGGGTTGCCCTTACAATATACTTGCACTCAGATTCGGACAGACAGGGTAACTGGAGAAGTTCATATATCCTATGCTAGGTTGGATCGTATTGAGATTGATAGTATCTCATTACTCAAATATAGAGATTGGAAATACAACCTACCGCAATTAGAACAGACTACTGTTTAGTTACTGTTCAACTAGTTGCTAGAAAGGAAATTAAAAATGGCAAAGGCAGGTAGTGCTTGTGTTACACTTTCTAGGCTGATCACTGATGACAGCGGCACATTTGATCCCATCATCAATTTCTGATGATATCATCAACCTCCACCACATCACACCAACCAACCCCAAACGAAGGTTAGCACAGCCTTACCATATTTGGTTAGATGATATCATCCATCAATCCATCAATGACTCAGACTGAGTCATATCGATCTGAGTCAGAGTGAGTCATGACATGAGTCAGGGTGAGTCGGTATGAGTCGGAGGGAGTTAGTATTAGTCAGCCTGGAATTGGTATATAAGGAGGACGCTGGTGGCCTTCTGCCCCCAGTGCTTTTATTCTCTTTTCCCTCCTACCTCCTGGGAAATAGTCATCCAGTTGTATCATACCTATCAATACAACTTGATCTCATCATCAACCACTACGAAGTTAGATCATTTGATCATCCATTAAGTTGGCCCATCATCTGATCCGGCTTTGTTTGTGACAGCTTGCCTACATACCTATTAAGAACACGCAAATTTATGGACTTGGTAAATCAGTGTGGAGTAGAAATGGAGAAAGAAGGGAATGAATTGAACCCCTTGATAAGAGACCCTCAGAAAAATTATCAAACCCTATTGGAAAGATGGAAGGATAAAATTATAGATTATGGTAAATCGCACCTGGTAGATATAGCTTGATGTTTTCTCCACTCCTGCCTTTCTCGCTAATTCCAATAACTTTTGGGCATATTTGACGTGTGTCGCTACCTCCTTGGCCCGCTACCTCGACCGTTCCTCCCAATTCGCTCAGCGTAAGTTTTAGCCCAACGAGTTTCTCTTGGTATTCTTGTTTGGTGGGCTCTGCCTCTTCGTCCGTCGGGAATTGCGCCAAGAACTCTTTTGTGAAGTCCGCAAACTTCGCGATGGGGTTGACTTTCTGTCTTTCTGCCCACCATTTCGCTGCCGGCGTGCGTGTGGGAAAGTGATCTCCGACCGCGTCTAGTCGGTCGCTGTCTGAGTCCCTTTTGAGGTCTCGGCTTCAAATTCGGAAACTTTTGTATGAACTCCTTGGAATTGACGTTGTTTCTTTCATTTCTTTCGTCCCCGTAGAACGCAGGCACTGTGTTCGCTTCCGACATCGTGGCTGCACTGATGGTATTTTGTTGCGTTGTTTGGCTACTGACACTTGCGTTTTGTGGTACTGGTGCCGGTGATGTGGGTGGCGTGATCGTAGTCTGTCTAGACTGCTGGGATGCTGAGGAGGTTGGCGCTGTTGTTATGGACTCAGAATCTTCGTCCGGAGTGTCTTCTTGGTAGATTCTAATTCCCCTTGCTTGTGCTGCCCAGTCTAGGCTTGGCGTCGGTGATGTCTTCGTAAACCTTCCTTTCTCGTCTCGTTCTCTCTTGTTTGCCAGCTTTCTTCTCTCTGCTCTGCTCTGCTGTGCCTGCTTTGACTTCGAATGCCGCTCTCGTCACCACAATGTGGTAGCTCGTCTGGGCCGCGTGTGGTAGCTGCTCTGATCTAATGATGTGTGACTAATGTGACATGATCCAACTACGGCCCCGGCCCCGGCCTCCCATCACAATGGTGAAGTAGCAAATGAGAAGGATGAAACAGAATCCAGATGAGGAAGAGATGGAGGGCCTTGGAGATGCATTGGACTATCTATTAAACATAGCAGAGGACAGTTGATTTAAGATACTCAGTTTTTCAAGCATCAATGAGTTAACTACATTTATTGCTCGCCTCGGGTGAGTTAATGAAATCTATTACTCAGTAGTGAGTTAACGAACTATATTCGCTCTTCCTTCAAAAATGCAGTGATTAATAAGCTGTTTGTACCTTGAGCACTCTCTGGTCAGTGCACAACTTTTTGGTTTTGATGGTTTGATGGCGGGGCATGTGTTGGGAGGTGGCGGCGCTGCGTCGGGGGTCGGGCAGGACAGGGCGCGTGACAGGTGATCAGCTGGATGACTATATGGAGCTACGCTGATCAAGAATCAGTTAGTCTCATCAAAAACAAGTTAGAAATGGACTCACCGACGTTGCCAACGTCGAAAGCACGACATTGGCGGACAGTTGACAGCGACGGGGAAGGGGCGGGGATCGTGGGGGAACGTCCAAACGTTTGACAGCGGATGTCATGTAAACCTGCTCAGCATAGTTTACATCATCTAGTCACAGTGGTTACTCTCTCTCCCCTGTACATATATTCCCACTAACGTTTCCCACCTAAACATTTTTGAATCACGGCTGTGCATATGCGTGGTGTCGGGGAGGGCCGGGACATCGGCCAGGCCATGGGCGCGTACCGGCAGGTGCCCGCCTGTCTTTTCCTGCGCCAAAGACCCCCACTACTAGTGAGAAGTAGTGGGGGTGCACTGGCCGAGCTCAACCCCCTCTAGTTAGAGGGAGCCACACCCCCACCCCCCTCCTAACTAGAAGGGGGTAAGGGTGCACTATAGGTGGTAGCGGGGGTGCCTGCCAAGAGCTCAACCCCCGGAGGGTACCCTAGTCTCCACCTCTAATTAGAGGGGATAAGGGTGAGGGATAGGTGGTGCTGGCTTTATAGTCAGCCATGTCCTTTCTAACACAACTGTCAAGAAATATGTTGAGTTAATTATTAATGGGACTCGGAAATGGAAAGTCAATGTATTCAAAAGTTGACTAAAAGTCATAATTCTACGAGTATCTGGTTGAACCTCCTGCTTCTTCTTTATCAACCCTCTTCAATAGTTGCATTTCAGACTTGATTCAGGCCAGAAGTGCACGTAATTTCTTGACCACATCTTGGATGATTGTGTCGAGTGATTTGTGAACTGCATCATAGTTGGTTGCATCCAGCCCAGTATGGTCGCTTAGTTTTGTTTCAGAGGACCACCGTTCTTGAGGCAATGGCATAGAGAGCAGGACATCAATGAACTGCACTGCGCAATGTTCATCTGCTTCTCGAAATGTTTGTTTTATATCATGAATAATGCCACGCTTTCCTTTCTGACTCCACAAATTGTCCCGCACAAGCTTCAAGTCATCAATCCCGATATCGCCTTTATCCCATTTGAACCTCGCATAATTTCGCTGCCACTCAGGATCTTCGAGTGGATTCTTGAACGTCTGGGTCAAGGCTTTGAGAAGAACGTAAACCGCCGATTCCAGGTCATCGTGTGGAAGAGGCATATGCTTCCCGTCGAGCATGTAATAGGCCATGGTATCAAGTGTTCCTGTCACTTTCCGCTCCCCAACAGGCCCACTTGGTGGTGGTGAATCCAACTTGAATCTGCGACCAGTCTCCCAGTCGATTAACAATATTCCATCGGTGGTGAGCAGTATATTGCCCATGGATATATCCCGGTGGATTATTTCACGATTGAATACGTCGAATAGAGCCAAAAAGATTTGGACGGCAGCGTTAATTAGGTCGGTCACCGACAGAGATACATCATTGAGCTTGCGAGTATCGGAAGGCGACTCGAAAGCCATTGCCTCAACATGCCGAGGTACGAGAGGTGAAAGAGTAGAGATTTGATTTGCACGACGTTTTGCCGGGTGCCTAGCGCCAGCGACTCGTCGGATGACTCGGACGGAATGCGCGAACCAACGGCTGCAAACCATCCGACGAGGTTTGGAACATAATTGGGAATACTAGTAGCACAAAGAGCGTCGAGAACCATTTTCTCCCTCCATGCACGAGGCTCCGGAATGAAAGTCACCTTGACAACCCAAATCTTGGTGGAGACTCTATGTTTTCCTTCCAGAACAAGTGTTGAACGTCCGAAAGGTACGCTTCGCAGGGGAGAGAGAGTTTTGCCCGTTAGCTCAATCGGATCACAGTCAGGAAGATGCGCAACACCGGGCACGGCATCGCCGTTCAAGAAACCGAAGTCGGATTTCGTAAACTTGTAGGAAAAAATCGGATTGAAACCGAGTTCGTACAGTGACGCCTGTTGAAAGAGAGCCAAAATGGCAGAAACAGTGGGGAGATTGGTCCCAAGACAGTTCTCGACGACCGTGAACTCGAGACGATCCCAGGCGTATACGGGGTTTTTTTTAAAAAGATCCCTTGTAATTAGAAGATTAACATTTTTAAAAAACATCAGTGATTTACAAGTTGTCCCCTCATTTGAATAAAATCCACGCTGTCAAACTCCCATCAACATTTTTTTTCATCTTTTTTGGCCTTTCCCCTACTCAGTATTTTCCCCATACTTAAGGAATTTTCCACACGTCAGGTCTGGGGCCTTATAGCTACCACACTGCCCACCCTGACATGGCCTTTCAACTTTTTAAACCTTTTTTTGATCTCTCATTTCCCTATATAAAATCCACCTTTTGGCAGGGGCATAAATTAGAGGCATTTTTTAAAAACATTCACACTGGTAATGAGAAGGCTTTTTTAAAAAAAACCCCGTGTACAGGTGCAGGCAGGACGATCCTGGTTCAGAATGGAGACAAATAGCTTTGCTTTCTCGCCTTTGCCATGGAATGACAGGGTGGGGATGTAGAGTCGAGTGCCTTGCATCGACAACAAATCCACGGCATTCGTGATTGCCTGTTGATATTTGCCTATTTCAACTGAAGTGCCGATCAGAGGGTTGTGTGTGTAGGACGGGGGATCGAATGATGTGTACTCAATGTTCACGAGGACATTGAAGATCGTCATGGAGTCGGCGGCGCTAGGACGAAGCGCTGCATCGTATTTGCGCTGTTTCTCGTAGCCTCGTTGCGGTGGCAAGTAGTCCCCTGGGCCTGGTACGAACTCCATCACTTCTGACTGGGACCGTAAAGGCTCTGGAAGGGCAATCTGTATACCATTAGCCAAGATCTAAAACCGAGACAAGCAGCAAGGCATACTCTAGCCAAAGCAGATAACCAGTAACGATTGTTTATGTATATCTCACGTGGTCGTGTTCCTGAAGAAGTCGCAGACTGATTGTTCTTGGATTCCGCCTTGAACCCTTCCAAAACGCGGTCTTTCAGGCCTTTTCCGCGTTTCGGCGTCAGATCTTCAAGTTGCAGTGTTCTCGAAGCACTATCCGTGAGAGTATTAAATTTGTTCAGAAATGCAGTCCCACCCAGTTTCGTCAGAATAACAGCAAGACTGGATGAAGCAACATGGTTATCAAAATGTTTGCGGCAGTACGCTTCGTCCTCTTTTCTCTTTGCGCTGATCTGCTCGGTGGTCAAGCTGCCGTGCACCTCAGTGACAACCGGCGTCTGCAGCGATCGTGTGCGACTCGGAATTTCATCCGGGTTAAGCTCCAAAAGCTGGGACTCGTCAGCTTTCAGTGAGACCGTCAACGCTTCCGATCTTGGTACAGGTCGGGACTGAAACGATTATCATGAGAGCCTTTCTCCCGACCAACGTCTGCTTACCGGTAAGGCATCGAAAAAACTCTGGCGTTCAGCCGCTGTTCGACTTTCGTAGGCTTCCAAAGCTTGCATTGGCACAAGAGCTGTTGAGAATAGAGATTCGAGGCTCGGTGAGTTTCAGGGAGTAGAGTTGTGTTTGCCACTGGTGGGTCGACGACTCTGCCTTCCACTGTTGTGGTTGGGCTGGTATTTATACTATTCTCCCATTGTACTAGATGTTTCTATATGACTCTTCATCATGAGGAACCGAGTCAGTGAAATCAACAAAACTGTAGTGTGTACACACCAAGTGAATAGGTGGGAACACAAAATTCTCCCACTAGCCTGACTCTCAACTTCAAGTTCGATCAATAGTGTACTCACTAGTCATAACACCAACGTGTGAGGCCCACACCACGCGGAATGCAAACAGCCTCGATATAAGGGATTGATTTGGCTTGGGATCATTGGCATCATCACGAACCCACAAAAGCAGTTGTCATTCCCCACAACCACCGGCAGTTCTAGGAGCTCCCAGCCTGAGACGTACACCAATCGACGACCTCGGGCAGACTAGTCTGCAAGCCACAACGGTACATACCATTCATTTGCCCGCTCCGCCTGAAATAGAATCTGAGTCGTTCCTTGCCGTCAACGCTGGAATTTCGCTATGTGAGTTGATACACGAAACATAACTGCAACAATTTCTTACATAGGCGCGCTACGTAAAACTAAGAACTCGCACGACCTGCTCAGTGTACGTCACACACCCACTGTAGGGCGATACATGTGCGAGCGGGGTGCCGCCAGGCAGGTCCAACGAGGCAACCGGCTTGTTCTTCCCCGGTGCATAAACGAGGTACCTTTCTTCGTCAGCTCGTTTCAACGCGTGGCCCGCGTATGAGCCACTGACATCGGTGGGGCTTTCGAATTCGATCCTTGGCCGCAGGACAACGTCTGGCGACACGAACATGTGGTAGCCCGAGAGCACGCCCTTGCCATCGAATCCGCTCCATCGCGCCCATATACGGTATACATCTTCGTCCAACGGGCTTTGGTGAACGTAGAGCGTCCGCAGCCAGGGCGGGGAGGGAGTGATTCCAGACGTGATGTTGGTCGACGTCACCGTCGGGAACTGGGTGATGTCGACTGAGTTGGGCTCAATGGCGCTGCTCCAATAGCCAGAGCCTCGGATGCCGGCCAGGGAAATAACTCGGAGCTCGGGACCGTCGTGGTTTGGCGGATCGAGGAAGGCAACGAGATGTTGAGCGGTGAGAGCAATGACGAATGGCCGGTTCTAGATCAAGAGAATGGTTGGTGCTTGATAATAAATGTAAAGGCCCTCACCGAGTTGAGACCTAGATACGGCTTCGAGGTGCTGTCCCAATCATACAAGGTGTGTGCAGTTCTCGCATAAGACCCATCAGCGGGATGAAACCGACTCACACTTGCATAAGCAAGTGACCCACATATGCCTACGCGTTCTACGCCATATGACTCGGCCGACATAGGATATGCCTGGCAGAGCAGGGTTGTCGAACTACCCTGGCAGAGCTCAAGCTTCAGGATCTCGACTTGACTACAAGTTGTGAGGGATTGAAAACACGGAGAAAGGATGCGATTTACCTCTCAGCCCGTCCGTCGAGCATCCAGTGGAATAGATATAGAATGACATTGGCTTCCTCTCCTCCGTGTAAGACGTCGGCTGCAAAAGCGCCGACGCTCCAATCCGTGCTGGGTGGCTCGTGTGCCCAAACAAGTCGATCTTCTTCCAAATTCCAGCATTCGAGGACTTTGTTGGAGAGCAGAATATATTTTCCACCCGAAAGGAGTCGCGCCTCGTTGATTTTGGAAAGATTGACGTTGTCGGGATGGATGACGTGCTGGCTTGAGGGCTCGACGACGTTCTTCTGGGTGGATGACTGGCCGCCCAGCGCGAGCTTCGAGAACGACTTGCTAAGGGAGGAGTGTTTGGGCGGTCGCCAACATTTGGGTCCGAGAACCATGCGTTTGACGAGGTCGACGAGTGCTGGTTGTGTCATTTGTGAGATGGAAAGGGGAGTCTCCGTATTCACGAATCCCCTTCGGTGGAGACTTTGAACAAGGGCAACCCAGACGAGGCGGTCTCCTGATAAACTATGGAAGAACCTATTTGTCTATAGGAGGATGAGAAAATGGCTTCAGGATGGCCGAAGACGAACGCGGCTGATCGATAATACGGTGTATATGTTCACGCATGCGAGCATGATGCGGAGAATATCTTCAGGGATTTCATCGAGTCTCATTGCGGAGAAGTTGCGAGAAGTCGGGCTGACATAATGGGGGATGCCCTAAGTACAATTTGCAACCAATTTGCCAATTTGTGATGGAGCGTTGATGGGGCGGAGCCTCGCTGACAAAGCAATTTGTCAGCAACCGTCCCCTGGCTGACAAGCCGCATCAATAGATCATTGTTTTTTTTTTTGGAGCATTTGGAGTAATGAACTTCAGTCTGCAGAAGCATTCCAAAGAACATCCGCTGGGTGCACTGGAAAATACCAGTAAAATGCCGGGAATTAAGCTCAGGGGGAAATGCCTTTATACACATTTTAAAACCAGTGTGGGACTCCTACTATTGGTGTGGTTCATCTAACACCTTTCTTCAAAGGTAGAATACCCACTAAAACCCCCTTTTCATTTATCCAGTTATCCGGCAAAGAGTCTTCATCCAGCAGAAGTTCACTCCAAGTATTTAGAACTACTTGGTGATCAATAGCTAATTTATCAAATTTATATTTATTAGTCAAGATCCTATCTCGTTGAAGTATTGAATTTATCATTGTAATCCATCGATTATGTATTTCTTTGACCTCAAAAATCTTACTAGGATTTTTTAATCACCTTTCATTTCGTATATTCCAAATCATATACCATGCCGCTGATACTAAAATGCTGAACAGTCGATCTTTATGAGGCTGAGGAGTATTTTTATTATTATGAAACTTAGTTAGATTACACCCCAGCACTAATCCCCATTCAATTTTTGGCCATTGACTAAATTTTATACTCCAGAGTAGCTCAGTTAGTTTCCAAATATATATTCTTTCCAATGCTTTGCATTCTAGCATAATATGTTCTAGAGTCTCAGGAACATTGCACAGGGGGCATTCACCAAATGTTTGGAGGTGAGGAACATTATCCCAGAATAGTCCTACTTTAAATATATTATGCACAGTTTTCCAGAGAAGATCTTTAATTTTACTACTGAAATGTAATGGTCTGATTGATTTCCATATCTGTAGGTTCATAATCAAACACTTCCTTTATTGTTTCTCTAGTTCTTTCTAGGTTACTAAAGGTTGATTTCCGTACAGGGATTTTGTAATTTGATTTGATAATCCTGGAAAATAATCTTTGTGAACCACTTTGTATTGAAATACCTGGCGTATGTAATGTCAATTCAGATTGTGTTTCTAAGACCCATGGTATGAAAGGGTCATCAGTTAGTAAGCTGGCCTTACTATCAAGAATTTTCCTGAAGCAGGTTTTCTGTGTTCTCTCTTTCATGTAGGATAAGCATGCAATGAATAAATGAAATATAGGGTTTGTCATGTCATTTTCAAGCACATGACATTTTTTAACTAATAAATCAGATAGCAATGGATCAGTAGTACAAATATTAACTACACAATGAGGACCAACTAATTCCAGTACCAGCATTAGTGCACCTAACCAGGCTGTCTGAAGGTTCAAAAGTGTTGATGTATCAGAGAAGAGAATTTCAAATTCCTTATTTTCACCACAATCTTCACCTGAAATCATTCTCAATGCAACAAATAATCTAGGTTTATACTCTCCTGGATATGCATTTAAGAATATATCAATATCATTGGATGCATCTATAATCTGTGTGTTTTGCCTTATGGCTGGTCGAAGGGACATGAAAAAGTTATCCTCTACAAATATTCTGCACACATCAGCTAAAACATCCACCTTGTAATTAGGGTCAAAGATATGTTTATGTTCAGTTGCAAATGTGAGTGAATTCTGTAATCGCTCTTCATCTGTAAGATTCAAATCATTAACAACATCACAGAGAGGGTTCCATTTATCATGAATATGTAATATAAGTTTTTGGGCTATATTAATGCATTTTCCAGGATGATCACATTGTAGTATTTTCCTGTCATAAGAACATGCATTACAGCCACAATTCTGTCTTGAAATACCAGAAAGATTAATTGTATGTGGTTTTTGACCTGCTACACTCTCTCTATTTGCTAATATTAATGCATCTCCTACTGTTTGCACACCATGATTAAATTTCAAGCAATCAATCCTTGTATAATGTCTTAGTAAAAATTTATACAAGTTATCTTCTATAGCTATATGATACCATATAGGCATCTGCAGTTTAACATCTAGATCAATTTGCAGTCCAAATATTTTAAAGTTAAATTTTTTTGCAGACTTGATCATTCTTTTGATTTCTTCAGGTAGTCTTGTAGTTTTAGAAATTGTCAGGGGAACCCCCCTTTCGGCCCCTCGGAAACGCCTCCGTCTCCGGTCCGATTCCGGTTCCGTCTCCGGTCCGGCCCCCCATCTCGCCCGTACAATCACCGATCTGTCAACGCCCTCCCAACGGTCGCCCTGGGACCTTGCCTGCGACGCCGCCCAAGCCTTCTGTGCCCGACAGCGGCAGCTACGGACAAGCAGTATATAGCCAGCTCCCTAGCAGGCGGACCCTTAGAGTTTCTTCTCTTTGGATCCTCCCCTGCTAGGTCAGCTTCATTTGTATTTGCTTACCAATGTTCACGCTTTGGATCCTCCCCTGCTAGGACCTTGACCTCAGGCCTCCAGGGTTGCCCTTACAGCAGAAGAAACTCTCTACGGGATCAACCGGACAAGATTGCTAGGTTCGGCGCTGACTTAGGCTCGGAATACGAGTCCGTTCCGCCCTCGTCACCGCCCCTACCACTTGTCCCCTCCTCCTCTGTCACTCCTGTCATCCCCTCACCTGTCATGCCTTCCGGAGCTACTCCTGACGCTGACACTCGGCTGGATGCACTCAAGGCGAAAATCGACCGCCTAACTGAGGCCCTTACTCTTCTCACCACCCAGGCTTCCGCTGCCGCTGCCGCCGCTAATACTGCTGGCGGACCCCAAACAACACCACCCCCGGAGACGTCGATCAAGATTGCCAGGTTCGGCGCTGACTCAGGCTCGGAGTCCGAGTCCACTCCGCCCTCCGCCACCGCCCCTGCCACTTGTCCCCTCCTCCTCCACTCCTGTAGTCCCCGCACTCGTTATGCCTTCCGGAGCTACTCCTGACGCAAACGCTCGGCTGGACTCACTCAAGGCAAAAATCGACAGCAGAAGGACCCGCTCAGCAATGGGCGGAGCGCCACGGAAGCAAAGCCCCGTTTCCGTTTCCGTCCTGGGGCTTGTTCGTTTCCGAGTTTCGACTCCGGTTCGTCGAGGAGAACGAGCAAGATCATGCTCTCTCCAAACTGGAGACTTCCGCCTATCACATGGGCACAAAGGATGTCTACCAGTACACCGACGACTTCGAGGACCTGATGGACCTCGCCGGATTCGAAGACGCGTTGGTCAAGGTGACCAAGTTCCGCCACGGACTTGACCCCTTGATCAACAACGGAATCACGTCCTCGAACGACCCCCGGACCTCCGGGACTACCTTAGCTGGCGCACCCGGCCTTCCGTCAATACGAGGCCCTGGTCCGGGCCAAGCTGATCAAGTCAGCCGCCCCCAAGACGCCTGGCGGTTTGATTCGGACTCCGTTTCCGGTCAACTGCATCCTGGCTCCGGCCCCTTTCCGCCCGGTGGCTCCCGGTCGTGCCACCCGCCTGCCCCCGCCCCCGCTCCGGTGCCTCCAGCTCCCGTCCCCATGGAGTTGGATCGCACTAGGGCTCGGGGTGCCCCGTCGCGCCTGCTTCAGGTGCGGCGACCCAAACCATCTCGCCCGGGATTGCCCCCCCCCCGGGACGCCGGCTCAATGGACATCCTCGACGAGGTGATCCAACAACTCGGTGACAAGATGTTAGCGGAGTTGATCGCCCGCTACTCGGACACAGCTGCGCTGCCGGAGACGGCTGCGGAGTCGATGGCCGGAGAGGATTTTGTCCCCTGCGACGAGTGACTGGTGTGCCCTCGTTCGCGTCCATAAATCGTTTCGCTTGTTTGTATGACGAATCAATTCCTTTGCCCTACAACGAGCCTGAAACGAAAGACATACCCTCCCCTGCCCCCGTTTCGACTCCGTCTCCGACTCCGCCCGCGACTCCGGTCGTCGTCCTTCGCCGCCTCACGGCCTGGGAAAAGAAATTGCCCAAGCAGTACACCGTCGCTGCCTCCCCTGGAGTGAACCCCTCCACCTCCCGTTGGAGCTAGAGTCTACCACCAGTGCGTTGAAGCTCTCCCTTTCTGGGCTTGTTGACTGTGGTGCCACCTCCGACTTCATCGACACGAACTACGTCGCCGGAATGGCATTCCGGTCCGCACCCTGGCGCAGCCGATTCCGGTCTTCAACGTCGATGGCACTCCGAATGATGCTGGCTCCATCAACCAGATCGCGGACTTGGTCCTACGCTACAAAGGCCATTCCGGGCGCTTCAACTCGCCGTCACCCATCTTGGTAAACAAGACCTCATCCTGGGGTACTCTTGGCTGCGGAAGCATAACCCAGAGATCGATTGGGAAACCAAGGAGGTCAAGATGACACGGTGTCCCCGGGCTGCTCCACTTGCCGCGAGGAAGAACACGTTGAACGGACTGAGCTACAGCGACTCCGGCTGCTCCAGAAGCGACTCCGCTCCGGCCCGTTCCCCTCGGTCTGCGCCATGGACCTTTCTGGGTCTGACGACGGAGACGATTCCGTCTCCGGTAACGACTCCGGCCTGCCTGATCTGACGCCGGACTCCGACGACGACGATGACGATGGTCAGCTTGAAGATGGTGACCGCATCTTCTACACCTCGTTCCGTCCCTCGGAGGAGATACGCGGCTGGCGATACTGTCTCGCAGCGCCTGGCCGAAGCCTTCGCCAGGAACTCCACTCCCCCGCCCTCCGAGATCCCGGACTGGGCTAAAGAGTTCCAGGACGTCTTCAACAAGGAGTCTTTCGACACGCTGATAAGCCGCAGTCTGGAACAGACCAGGAAACGACGATTTTTGTCGATTTTGTTGCTCAGCGCACGTCTCAGAGTTGACATGAGTCCCGAATGGTCAACTAGGGAGTCATCTGCACAAGAACCAGTCAAAATCCAGTCAAAATCTATCAAATCG